TGATGGTTATGGATGATCCATTCTCCTGGGATTTCCCAGGCCACCGCTCCTTTTCCCTCCCCTCACTCCCCCCAGGCCTTGCTCTACTAAGGCTATTGTTCCTGATGATGGATTTTCTGTAGGTAGTAGCTGCTTTGACCTGCCATGGCTTTTTGGCCACAATTTTGCCAGAGCGATTGGTAGAGAATTAGTATCAGGGAGGGGAGCTGGGGGTGGTGATCAACACCATGGCAGGGAAGGGGGCGGGATCAGAGAAGAAGAAGATGATAGAGGACTGTCCTTTTTGAACTCTGCTTTTGGGCATATGGGAAATGGAGATGGGGGTATAATGATAGCAGAATCCTGTGAAGAGTAGAATAATGAGAATTCTAAGATACTAGTTCCAAGCAAACCACACTTCTCCACTGCGAAGGAGCTGTTGCAGACCATATTGATTTAAGCTTCTGATGAAAAGGAATGTGTGCTTATAAGCTTGCAAGGAATGGACAAGGTGTTCCTAAGTTGCTGGGGAAAATCTCACTTCCTTCTTTGTGCCTCTACTTGCTATGTCTCTCTGGCTTTAGCAAAACTGGATGTTGAATTAGTTTGGTCCGTTTCCCTGAAGTCAGACTGTTGGGGCCAGAAGGAGCCACAGTTTGGCTTTCAAGGTGAGCAGGGGGCAGTGTCAGCCCAGCCTCTGGAAGCTCTTAGATATTGGGTCTTATCCCCTTCCACCACTGCATAGCCCTTTAAATGGGGATTGACAGTCTCCAGCTGAAGCTCTGAGAGTTGCAGAGCTGGTGAGTTCTGGGGAGAGCCAAGGACTAAGGTAGCCAAGCTCTCTGTTTTGCTTCTGGGAGCCAAGAGGATGTAAGATCCTGATGGGTGAGCAGTGGCATTGAGGTCACCAACTCTGCCTCTGACCTTCAGTCTTCCTATCTGCAAAATGTGGAGGCTCTTTCTGACTATCTCTAAAGAGTTCCATTCCTGACAGGTGGGTGGGTGAATGGGGAGTGAGGCTGAGCAATGAACCTGGGGACTTTCTGTCTATAACTCTTGCATTTTGAGTGTGAACCAAGATAAATAAACTGGGCCAGAGAAATGCATTTCTTGAGTTTGTGTTTTTATTCTACCTGTTGTCTGGTGGCCTCTTTTCCACATCATGTGAATTCCCTTTTTGAGCAGGGCTCTGAGCTGGGCTTTGGATATGGAGGAAGACACTGGGGAAGAGGATTCAGCCTGCTATGGATGACAATCTGGTGGTGGGGAGAGATCGCTCCTCAGGGGCCTCTCAGATTGACAGGAGACACTTGGCCTCTGCCGAGAGCCCTATTTGAGATTGTCCTTGTCCTAAGGCACCTTTGGTTCTGAAAGGGGAGCATCGATTGTGAGGAACACATACACCCCCACCCCACATTGCTTTCTGTCTCTGTGACCTTGGGTAAGTCACTTAATTTCTCTTGACCTCAGTTTCCTCATCTTAAAAGGGAAATAATAGTAATAACTACCTCATAGGGTTGTTGCAAGAATTAAATGAATATATAATATGTAAAACACTTAGAACTTACCCGGCACATAGTAAACTACATTAATGAAAGTTATATAGTGCTTTCGTGATGCACACTTCACTTTTTTGTAGAAAAGCAATCAAATTTTCCTTAAGGAATTTGAATCTAAAATTTGGAAGGCATCTTTAAAAAAAAAAAAAGCTTTAAAAAAATAAGTCTGCCTAATATTCCTTTCCATGAAAGAGCTTTCTGAGCTGAGAAAAAGAGAAAAAGATGAAAACCAGACCAAGGAACCAGCGTGGTGAATTATATGTTTACAGGACCCTCACCAGTCCTTGGGGGTCTAGGGATAGGCCCAGTACCTGGTGCTGTGGGTGAGGGGAGGAACCAGGCAAGGGTGGGGAGGCGGGGAACCAGTCCTGGCCCTCTGTGCTTGTCTTCGACTGAGACTTCTATGCTTGGGAGGTTGTTTCAAAGTCATTGGGTGGGGATTTCTTAGTCCCTGGGACAATGAAGCGAGTAGAGAAAGTTCACGCACTAGGGAGGAGATTAGCCGGTTAGCCACCTTCCCTCCAGAATGAAATCCCATGGCCAGGAGGAAGGAAGTCTAGCTCAGGTTTCTGGTGCTACCTGAGGAAGCTTGCCTAGCAGAGGAGTGAGGGATGAGATTGGGGCTGAGACCCAGGGACCAGTAGGGGCAGGGCACACAGCAGTCGTCTGAACAGGCCTCAGGGACAGGACCGAAGCGTGGAAGGGACTGGAGAAGAGGTCGTGCAGAGCTGGGTCCTCTGGTAAGAAAAGAGGCTGGGTCCATGGAAAACTTTCTCCCCAAGGACCTCAAATAGACCAGCCCCATCAAACCTGGTCAGAGGGGATGGGATTAAGCTTGGGGTGTAGGGAGGCAGGGATTGAACTGGGCACTGGGGAAGAAAGTAAAGAGGAGGCTAAGGTGGCTTCAGAATGTGGTAGATGGGCTCCCCAGCCAGGGGCTTGGAACATCAGGTGCTCAGCGTAGTGGCTATCTCTAGGGAGACCGAATGCCCCCTGGCGGCAGCCTGTGACTTATCAGCCTGTTTCCCTCAAGCCTCACCCCAAATCCAGTATTAATGTCTCCTAACGGCAGCATGAAGAGGTGACAGGAACAGGAAAGCCATGAGATCTGTGAGCGTCTGATTAAGGAAGGCTTCCTGGAGGAATAGGAGCCTAGAGAATAAGTAGAAGTTGAGGAAACAGAAGAGAGTAATTTCTAGTGTAGATTGGACCCAGTTGTCTTGCATCCTCCATTTATTAGCTGGACCTCATTTCTCTCAACTGTGAAATGGGGGCAATTAGTATTTCTCTCACACTGTTATGAGAGAATTCAATGAGTTTACACACGTAAAGGGCTTAGATGCTGAGCGTGGCACATAGGAAGAGCTCGTCCATAATTGTTATTACCTGACTAGGAGAGGAGAGAGAGGCCATCAGAGATAGGAGGTACCTCTGGGGAAGCTGTGCTGTATATTAAAAAGCGTTGCTAAAGGGCTTTTAGTCCCAGACCCATAAGTTTAATAAATGCTGGTGGTGAGAAGAGGAGCATGAGATGGGGATGCTCTGGGGTCTGAGCCAGGCCTCAAATCTACACTCATATACATGCCCACACCTACCAGGCACCTACAGACACACGGGCACCCGCCAGACTCCACACCTATGCAGGCCTTCACGCCTACACACAAGAGCTCGCACAAATGCACACTCCTGGACACAGATCCACATGCGTGCTCCCTCTGCTCCCCCGCCGCTCTCAGAAACACCCCTGCAGCCTCCTGTGACGCTCCCAACCCCAGCACGAGGCAGCCAGGAACGTGTCTGCTCCTCTCTAAGCCTGAGGACTTCTCTAGTCAAACCTTATTCTTGCCCCGCTCCTCCCACCGAGCCCCTAGGATCAGAACTGGTCGATCTTCTAATCGCTCCATTCTCATTTATCACCAGTAGGTTTGGGGAGACATCCATCTGGTTGTGGGACTGGCGGGCACGGGGAGGAAGGTGGCGCCGGAGAAAGGGGGGTGCATCTCATTAAGGTCAGGACTAGGGGAGGGGCTAGGCCCTCCAGGGGCCTGTAACCCACCCCCGCACTCAGGATGAAAGAGGGCTTTGGCGATGGGATAGGGGCAGGCGAGGGGCTCTGGGCTGTGGGGCCGTGACCTTGTCCCATAAGGGGGCACGAGGTGGAGCTCCAGTGCTCCGCACTGGGGAAGAAGGAGAGGGCTGGAGGCCAGCGTTCAGCTGGTGTTCAGTGGTCTCGGGCAGGGCGCCTCCCCCGAAAGGCGAACACAAAGGGGAGGCCTCCCCGGACTCGGCGCCGCCTGGAGCCGCGCGGCCCGGGACTGCGCACAAAGCCGGGCAGGGCGGGGCCGACCCGCCCCACGCGCGGGCGCGCCCTGGACCGCTGATCCGCACCGCTGCGAGCGACGTTTCCTGCGCCTAATCCCAACAAGCATGAAAACGGCTCCCGCAGGCCCGCCAGCAGGCCTTTTGTTCCGGCCCCTCGCGGGACAGCTGCAGCCAGGATCCCTCCCCTCTTTTGGGTCTTCTCCCCCGCATCCCTTGCCTTTCTCCCCACCTCAGCTGCCTGGAAGGCCGGCAGCCTTCCAGGGCTTTCGCCTCGGGCACTTGGACGCACAAAAGGGGGCAGCACCCCTAATCTGGGGGAGGGGGAGGATTAACCCCAGGGTCTGCAGGGAGGGTTGGGGCCGTGGAGGGAAGAGCAAGAGAGGGCTGCGGATAGGCCCTCCGCTGCTAGTGTAGGGGTGTGCAGGTGATGTGGGCTGCAGGTGAGAACATAGATGCAAGAGTCGACCTGTGGGCGTGCATGTCTGACTGGGTGCGAGTTAGCGGGCGGAGGGGACTCAGGTGTTCCGCATGCTTCTTAGACTCCTAGCTAGCCCCCCAACATCCAGCATTCAGACAGCTCTCCCTAGACCTTGATTCCCCCCTTGGGCTGTCCTGGACCTCTTCTCTCCACCCTCCTCCCGGGATCTCCATCACTCTGTGTCTTCAGTCCCCACCCATCCGCGGGACTCCCAAACCTCTGTCTCCAGCAGGGCCTCTGCCTCCCACCCTCACCTGCATATCCAGCTGGCCACTGGACAGTTCCACCCGAATGACCCAGAGCAACTCAAACTTCCCATGTCCCAAACTGAGCTCATCTTCTCCCCACCTATAAACTGGGTCACCCCACTCATTCATTTGTGGTGTGAGTTTCTACCCTCCTAGTTACTCCTCATGGCACTCGACCACCAAATCCAGTCCCTCCCACCTCCCAAGCACTTCTCGAGCTCATACCTTCCTCTCCACTCCAACTTACCCCATCTTGGTTCAGACCACCATGATCTCACCTGGACACCTGGAAGGACCCCTGCTCTGGCTCTCTCTCTTCCATCTACCATACTACTCTACAGTGGGCTCCTATAAGACTCCTCCAACTTAAGACCTTTCCAAGTCTCTCCA